AAATGTAAGCTATGGAAGGGGCAGGTGAAAAGCTTGCTGTAAAATACATCATGTCCATTCTGCAGGATTTTATAGATATGACATGGTGGTCCCAACCCACTGGGTAGCCTAAATTGAAGAACCTGAGGTAAATTGCATAAACCTAAATTAACCTTACCTGAGGTCTTTCCCACAGCATGAGTGCAATAAAAAGTCCTTTTCTGTGTGCTCAGATTCTCTGTCTCAGTTTTTCTTAGTTTAGTGTCAGACTTAGTAGCCCCAGCGTCCCTTCTGCTACCCCTTGCCACACCTTACTACCCACCTGTGGCTAAAACATGTGGCTCCAGCCCCTAGGTTATTTGACTGTAACCACCTGCCCCATTCTGTTTTCGTGGTGAGCTTGGGTATGCTTGTGCGAGTCGCTTGCTCCCCTACCCACCACCGGTCTGGGGTACTGGAAGACAGTCCAGGAACCGCTTACTGGTGGTTCAGTCAAATCCCAAAAGGATTTTAACAACATGTTTAAACATGTTTCATCTTGCACATTTTCTTTGTTGGCGATGCCGTATGGTGTAGCTTATCGCCTATAGCTTTAGCTATGGGGGTGCTCCCGGATGCCGGGAACGCCCGCGCGCGCGTGCCCCAAACGGGTTTGATACGAGGTCTCGGGGGCCGCGCGTAGTAGATCATAGCTTGGTGGCGAGTGAAAGCTAGGACCAAGCAAATCAATAGGCCAAGAATGCCTGGAAGGTAAACCTTGAAACCCAATGAAAAATGTAAGCTATGGAAGGGGCAGGTGAAATGCTTGCCGTAAAATACCATGAAATGTAAGGTAATCTCAGAACATCTAAAAACGCTGGGTAGTGCACAGCTGCGTAGTAGATCATAGCTTGGTAGCGAGTGAAAGCTAGGACCAAGCAAATCAATAGGCCAAGAATGCCTGGAAGGTAAACGTTGAAACCCAAATGAAAAATGTAAGCTATGGAAGGGGCAGGTGAAAAGCTTGCTGTAAAACACCGTGAAATGTAAGGTAATCTCAAAACATCCAAAAACGCTGGGTAGTGCACAGCTGCGTAGTAGATCATAGCTTGGTAGCGAGTGAAAGCTAGGACCAAGCGAATCAATAGGCCAAGAATGCCTGGAAGGTAAACGTTGAAACCCAAATGAAAAATGTAAGCTATGGAAGGGGCAGGTGAAAAGCTTGCCGTAAAACACCATGAAATGTAAGGTAATCTCAGAACATCTCAAAACGCTGGGTAGTGCACAGCTGCGTAGTAGATCATAGCTTGGTAGCGAGTGAAAGCTAGGACCAAGCAAATCAATAGGCCAAGAATGCCTGGAAGGTAAACGTTGAAACCCAAATGAAAAATGTAAGCTGTGGAAGGGGCAGGTGAAAAGCTTGCTGTAAAACACCGTGAAATGTAAGGTAATCTCAAAACATCTCAAAACGCTGGGTAGTGCACAGCTGCGTAGTAGATCATAGCTTGGTAGCGAGTGAAAGCTACCAAGCAAATCAATAGGCCAAGAATGCCTGGAAGGTAAACGTTGAAACCCAAATGAAAAATGTAAGCTATGGAAGGGGCAGGTGAAAAGCTTGCTGTAAAATACCATGAAATGTAAGGTAATCTAAAAACATCTCAAAACGCTGGGTAGCGCACAGCTGCGTAGTAGATCATAGCTAGGTAG